GTACCACTTCCTGGGACATTTCCAGTGTGCGAGTATATAAAAATGGTGGTACTTCTTCAGTGAAACACAGAAGGCAGGAAGAAAGGAAGTTCCTGTTAGACATATTATATTTGAGGTGGTAAAGCAGTGTCTAAAAAAGTAATCAACACACTTATTAGAAACACAGGAAGGTCAGACGTGAGGAGACTGACTGGCCAGAAGCATGCATCTGAAAATCATTAGCAAGAAGAAGCCAGTGAGTCATGGCTGCAGGTATACTCTCAAGGAGCCACTAAGGAGACCAGCTGGGGTGGTGGTCACAGCTGTGAGGAATGGTTTTCACACAGAAAATCAGAAAAGGAAGGGAAACCATGCAGCCAGAAGGCTAACATCAGAGTACTATCTTGAGGAACATCAGTGACGAAGACATTGGCAATCATGTGGAAAGTGCAAGACCTCTAGGCCAAAGCCTTGTTAGGTGGCTCTGTCTGTCCTTTCCAGGTTTAACTGCATTACTGTGGGGATGGACTAGGGCAGCCTTAGCATCCACCAGAGCAGCTAAAGTCCCTTGCTTAGTGTTTTCAATGAACTTTCCTTTGTGGGCAATCAGTCAGAATTCAGGATGCGGGAGAGTAAAAATGGAAAGTTGCTACTGGTTACTTTTCAAAACCAAAGGAAGGTCAGTGGGGCCCTCACAGGACCACAGGGAACTGGGCTCCTTCAGTTTTTACCAGGCACTGGATTCACTCAAGGCCTTCAGTTCACTGACACTGCTACCGAATCTTTCTTTCCAAGAGCAGCTTTAGGACTGTAGGGGGGAGGAGACATACTTCACTCTCAGAATGGGTACTTGTGTTACTGATGAGGAAAATAGCTTTCAGAATTCTTTTAAATTAATTCTGCAAGCCTGAAATTGACTTACATATTTATTTTATATATTTGAACACATTTTAAGCACTAAAGCAATTTCTAAGAATAGTAGTAAGAGGGAAAAAATCTGGAGAAATGAACCAAAAACACAGCATGCGAATTAGTCTGCTTTAGAATACATCTGCATATAGTGTCCTGCAGTGGTATATTTTACAAAGGGAATTAAAGACATGAAATTAACATTTTAATGAAGCAGACAGACTATTGACGTCAGGACTACTCACTGACTGCTGCTTCTAGGTGGCCTAATAAGATGAAAAGGGAATTTATACCTTCAGCTAGTCTAAGCTAGGGCAATTTGGAGATTATCACTGAATTTAAATTAGAAAATACTGCTGTGTGCAAACATAGTAGGCTAGTAAGTAGTCTTTGCAAACCTTGGCACTATTAATGCTTAATTTAAAAAAACTAAACACACACACACACCAAATTTTTTTCTAAAGCACTGTCTTCAAACCCAGGGAAGTAAGTGCACTTTGAAAACATTATAGGCTTTATCTGCATAACTCCTCCTAATTGCGTAGAGGTCCAGGTCGGGTAAGAACTAAAAAGGGGGCACTAAGAAGTTACCTGGGCAACTTTCCACCTGCATGGACACTGCAAGGACACAGGAGCAGCTTCTCCACTGCAGCCAGAACTAAGGGGAAGAAATGTTCTTAGTACCCAAGGAAACCGAAGGCTGCAATCGGTCCCCATCTCCAGGCTCTCACTCTTTAGTTTGTCCTAAAAGAAGAGTATGACATTCTTCAAGTGGTGTGAGGCAGGGGTCGGTCAGTAAGGTGAAACCCATGGGTCACTTCTTCCTGTGTCTGCTGAGGAGCTTGTGCACTAAGGATAACTTTTTACTTTTCCTTTCAAATGATGAAATTCTCAGAATATTATGAACCATCAAGTTCAAGTTTCAACTTCAACAAATAGTTTCATAAAGACCCGCTCATGTGTTCTCATTAGCCAGTTAACACAGCTGGAAAGCTAAGCACGTGCCTGCACAGCCTAAAATATTTACTAACTGGTCCTTCACAGGAAAAGCTTGCCAGCATGGTTTCTCCTAGCCTGTCCTCTGTGAAGTCACAGCTCCACAGAGCATAGAAAAGAGTTACAGATTACTTGAAGGATTCCAGTCTGACCCTGTCCCTTTCAAGAAATGACCCTCCTGGGCACATATGCCTCCCCAGGGAGGAGAAAGGAGCCACATTCCTTCATGGACTAGGATACAGAGCTACAGTAGAGCTACAGATCAATTCTTTGTAAGGTCACTATTTAGCATTCACATTGTATAGCTAGGTAAATACTCATGGTAGAAAGTGTATAGCAATTGCATTTCTCTTCTGTCTCACTAATCTTTTTCCAGAAATTATAATTACCTCACTTTTCTCTCTGCCGAATTTTCTAGAGACCTGTCACGTGCTCATCCCCAAACCATCTGCTAAAGGTTCAAATCTCTTCCCAGGTACTCAAACATCAGCTAACGCATCAGTCTCACCTTCGTGGGGTCATTCTCCTTGGAGCCTTCCCTGCTCTACTGAAATGGGACCAGATCTGACATCTGGTGTCTGGGCTCTTCTTCTTGTCCCTCACCCTGAGGACTCCTTCCTGTAAGCGTCCTTGTTATTGTTAAGATTAGGTTTACATCCCTTACACCTTTCTTATTGTGATGTGGCTACATAGAGTATTCTGAATGCTTAAATGCTGTTCCTCTCAACTTGCTTGAGACTTTGGCTCTGTTCACTATGTTCAGAATTCTTAGCTGATCCCACTTTTCTTAGAAATGGAAGGATTTTCACTTTTTTTTTTTTTTTTTTTTTTTTTGCCAGTATTAGCTTGAGCAATGTAATGCCACCCCAATGTGTGTTTTTCTAGAGCTTCTTTCTTCTCCTTTGCAGAAAGAAGCTTTGAGTTTTGCTGTTAGAGCTCTAGTACCGGATGGACACTGCACTTTCTTATCAACATCCTTCCTTGGATCGTGCCTCTACCTAGAAACTTTTACCCTTAATTCTCGAACAGTTTCTTTGATACTTTATTACCTGTGGCAAAGTGCAAAGATTGCAGTACTCAGAGCCTGTTTTAAGTATTTACTCTGGACCAGGACTGTTTCCTACATAAGTTTCCTCAGTATTTCGCGTTGTATATTAATGCTAACTTTCTTGTGTATTATTTGTTTCACGGAATGGAAGGTCTTGATTCTCCTTTATAGATAAAATGGTAAAAATCTGCCATCCAGATGAGGCGGGACATGCCCCGTCTGAAAATCAGATCGTCTGCCTGATGCAGCCTAGACTTGGTGACTCCCATCGCCCTCGCTGAGCCTAGGGTAAAGCTCTAGGTAGTGGGTAAGTCCATCACCTCTCTGGTGCACACGGGAGCTACCTATTTTGTTTTCACCTCTCACTCGGGTCCCCAAATTCCCTCGCCAATTTCTGTCATGGGGATGGACAGGACCCCCTTACTTTCCACTTAAGACCCTGTTACTTGCAGGGCGATTCTTCTCACACACTTCTAGCCATACCTGCTTGCCCTGTACCTCTACTTGGTTGTGATAGTCTCAGCCACTTTGGGGCCGCCCCCACAACCTCTCCTGATTCCCACCTTCTTCTCCCCTTAATAGTCTCACAGGTTCCTACCCCAGACTGTCCTGTCCCTACCCTTCCTTATCCAGTGGACCCCCAAGTATAGGTATCTCCACCCTGATGGCTGCTACTCACAATCAGCCAGTCCTACGCCTTAAGGAGCCCTCTTCCTTCCCAGATCCCAGTTTCCTATTTCTGAAACCCATCACTGAGGCCTCAAGCCCATTATCACCTGCCTTTTATTTCAGGGACTTTAATTCCTATCCACTTGCCCTGCAACACCCCCATTCTTCCTGTGCGTAAGCCTTCTGGTGCTTACCGTTTAGTACAAGACCTCCGCCTCATTAATGAGGCAGTTATTCCAACACACCGGTGGTTAACAACTCATACAACCTCCTTTCTAACACTCCCCCCACCCCACCCCACACACACACATACACACAACTTCCCATTTTACTGTCCTGGACCTAAAAGATGCTTTTCGTTTTAACTGTCCCCCTGCACCCTGACTCATAACTCCTCTTTGCCCTCACCTGGAGGACCCTGAAACGGGACCTCCAAGCAGCTTACATAGACTGTACTCCCTTAGGGTTTCTGAGACAGCCTTCATTTCTTTGGCCAAGCCTTGGCTCAGAATCTTTCTACCTTTGACCCTGGTCCTAGCACACTCCTCCAATAAGGAATCAGTCATTTCAAGACACCAAACAAACTATCTGAAGGATAATCTGTATTATGCTCCACTCCGTGTGTAAATATCCCTGCCTCTCCATTAATGCAGACGCTTGGCTTCAGAACCAGGGCCAACATTTACCTAATGAAAAGATCTCCACGGGGGCTGTCTCGTTCTCCTTGGGCCATGAAAAAGATCAATCCTTTATGTAAAGATCATTATCGAAGTGTGTATCAGAAGAGACTGAGTGATGAAGCTAAGATTTTAGAATCCTTAATCATCCAAACACCACAGGGTCTCGTGCCTTCCTGAAGCCAGTGACAACAGCCTGTGCCTCGCTGTGGAGTGTGGAGGTGAAGAGTCTCTGAATGTGGATAGAAGAGCACGCCAGGACAGGGAAGTCCTCCGGCAGCAGCTCAGCTCTCAGAGTTGCTCTGCACATGCCAGAGGGCTGCGGTGCAGCCAGAGCACGGCTCCATTTCCCTCCTCCTGACAGTCTCCACTCTCCCGGGGCTAGTCCCATACACAGGGCCACCTATTCCCTTCTCCTGACAACCTGCCTTCCCAGCTTCCTCAAGAAACAGATCCCTGAGGTCTCCAGGGTGGCGGTTAACCTAATGCTTCTTCATCCACACCTCTCACTGAGCGTGAGCCCACTGACTCCCAACTCCCCCCTCCCACATCATCCCATGCCAGCAGGAAGTACCCATATACCCAAAAAGGTTAAGATGTTTAGCTGGGAATTCCGCTCCAGCCCCCCCCCCTTGTAGACCCCACCTTCAGAAAGCACACCAAGCTGCAGCTCCTCAAGACCAGGCCTCCTGGAGAACAGCCACCTGGTTTTTCCTGGTCTCCTCTGCTGATCACATCCCTGGGGGCGGTCACATCTCTGCCCCCGCCCCACGTTATACCTGGGTATGTTTCTGCCCAATAAACTTGGTCTTTTATTTTTATAATTCGGCTTGAGTCAGCAGAAAGACTTAATATTGGGGTACGGAAACCTTTCACAAAGGTCGGGAAAGCAGTATTGATCTTGTGATTAGGAATCAGCACTTGCAGACCAAAGTGCTGCTTCAGAAGAGTGGCCCAGGTAGAGAGCCATGATGTTTACACGCTCCAGTACCAGAATCACTCCTTTTAGAGCTGCAGAGGCAAAGCCCACACCAAATGTGTATGAAAGCAGACACTGAGGAGAATTAAGTGCTTTGACTCTGTGAAACACTCTGAATGAACGGAGGCAGAGGCCATGGCTTTGGAAAAGGTCAGCAGCTGCACAGTCCCAGCTGTGTCCAGGGAGAGGTGTGAGGTGACCAGAGCCTCAGCTCCAAGCTGCTTTACTCAAAGACAGAGTCACAAGGAAACTTCTCGAAACCCTGTCTTTTCAGTTGCAATTCTTTGCACCCAGCACCTGACACAGACTAGTCACGCAGCAGCACTAAGTGCTTGAACAGCTCGGCCGCCAACATGACCTTCCTTAAAGCCGCCTCCTTGCCTGTTGCTCACTATGAAAAGATCTTGCGGGTTCCACTGGGTCACCGGATGAGATCCACCAGCTACAGCCGACCACCTAAATTCCTCTGAACCAAAAGCTACATGGGGAAGGCAGGGAAAGGCCAGGTAAGATGGCTTTTGTTTTGTTTCGTTCTGAAACGAAGTTTCTTCCATTTGTTTAGAGATTATTTTTTACATTTTATTTGTGAGCATGTGTTTGTGTCGAGGTGTGCCATGTGTGTGGGTAGCCTAGAAGGCCAGAGGAGGGCTTTGGATCTACTGGAGCTAGTCGTACTGGCTTTGGTGAGCCACCAGTGCTCACCAGTGAACCAGGTCCTCCCTAAGAGGAAAAAGTACTCTGACTGGTGAGCCATCTCTCCAATACCCAGGAGGTTCCTTAAGTGACTCATTCCAACCCTTACCATCGACATTAATCCTAAGAGACCCATTTCAGCGTTATCCCCAATCTGACCTAGTCTCAACTATGTTTTTAAGTTTTGAATGTATATAGTTTAACAATCATTTTATATTATATGCCAACTGCATGACTACAAAACACTTGAATCCAGCATTTATATCACTCTGTTGGTATGTCTCTGGCACTGTTTTAAAAACAGAAAGAAACTTGGCCAAATAACTTGAATGCTTTTGTTAATATGCATTATTTCAACCTTGAAGTGTGATGCTTATACGGCTTAACTGGGATAAAGAATTTGTGCTGAACTAGTCACGTTCTACAAAAACAACATTTCTGTTAGTGCACTTAGCTCCCCCGGGGGGACCGAAATCTCCAGTCTAGATCTTAATGTTCACTGACCACAGGAAACACTAAACTGAGGAAAAGTCAGGGCTTTGCTTGGGTTGTCTCAGCACCTCAATAATTATGAGCATGCAGAGCAACCTGGTGTTGAAAAGCAGCCCAGAAATATGACAACAGCTCTCAGCATGTAGAAAATAGTTGGAAAGTGACAGCATGCAACATTCAGACTTGGCATCCAAAACTGTAGGTTCTCTTTTGGGAAAGAATACAGATCTATTGTTTGAAGCTCTTGGTATAAATATCACCCTGACATAAATAAACCTAATGTGTGTGTATGTCTGGGGGGGGGGCGGGTGGGAGACTACTGTATCTATTAAGTTCAGTAAAAGGAGCTGTGTACTGAAGGATACTGGTAAGAAATAGGGAGGAGGGGCGCAAGTGGCTTTGGAAACCAAGGGAAATGTTCTAGCTAGGAAGAGGCATGACCCATCCAGAAAGCACTGAGAACCCAAGCTGAGCACAATGATACTAAGACTCAAGTTTAGTGCTTGGCACTTACCTACACAAAATCAAGCCAGTCAGCATTGCAGCATGGAGAGGCTCATGAGGCTCTACCCCAAGCTGGGGAGCTACTGGCATCTAATGGCTGTATTGTCTTAGGAAGTGTGGCAGCGCCAGGTTGCCATGTGCACGTGGGTAGTACTAAATAGACTAGGTGGTTTATAAAAAGTAGGGATTGAGAGTTGAGATGAATATGATTAAGATGCATTATATATATGTATGACACTGTTCAAGAAGATGTTAAAAACCAACAAATGTTACAACAGCCATAGTAATACCAAATCAAGGTAACAGAAACAGGAAGTAGCATGAACAATGAATCTTATCCCTAAAGAAGACACACTAGCTTGTTCTTTAGTTTCATCACGTATAAACTAGATTTTCAAATGTTGATTTTAGAAATAACCAAGAGATAAATTTACCAGGGTTTTTTATAATAAAACATTGGTTGACTTTTATCTATAAATTTTGAGTTTTGAAGGGCTCTATGAACCCATGCTCCCCAAACCAGAATATACTGTTTCATCTGGTTTTAAATTATGAAAATCCTTTTACCTATAACACTCAACACCACGGGTGAGGAGCTCATTAACTTGGCTAACTGAGAAGAGGAGGAGCTTCTATCCACGTCACACTCCTTAAAGTATAGTTCGCTGAAGGAAAGTGCTAGTAGTAGGCTGGCAGTAACAAGAGATTTCTGTTAATGAACAGATGGCTCTTCTTACTTGTAACAAATGAAATGACTGAATTTACTGAAACAAATGCAACTAAAATGTATGGAAGGAAGTAAACAATCTTTTCTAAGTTTTATTCAATCTATTACTATGCTGGGTAACTCCTCCCTTCACAAATGAAATGATACATTTCAGCTCAGTTCTAGAAACAATGTAATTCATTTTGAATTGAGAAAATCACATTAATAGAACTTTATAATACAGTAATATAACTAAGTTAGGAAAAAGAAATGCTCTCTTATCAATTACTTTTTAGGATTCCATTCTGTCCTTACTGTTACATCCGTCTTTGTAAGGCACGTGCTGGGATATGGGGACTGGAGTAGAAACCAGAGTAGACAGTATCCACTCCGATCCCAGCAACAAGAGAAACAACCCTCACACCATGAATGGTCTGGGAGGAGAGATCACTTGTAGCCCAGATAAGTCTTGAACTTGTGGTCCTCTTGGTTCAGCCCCAGTTGAGATTACAGATTGGTACTGTCGGACCCCACTAAAAGAAACCATCTAAGAAAAGCATGAGTCAAACCCAGTTTTCAAGGAGTATAGATAGATATCCATAGACTACTTGGGGCATTTCAGACAAAGATAGTGTGGTCCATTTTTAATTGTTCGTGTCTGCCTGTCATAGTCTGTGAGCTCTATGCTAAGCAGTGAGGCAAGTCTATGATTCTTTTCTTTTTTCTTTTTTTAAATCTGGGTACTTTCATGTGTACGTATGTGTGATGCTGGTACTTAAACTTGGACATTGAACAACAAAATATGTCCTTTACCAGTTATCAGAACATTCTAAATACATCACATAAATACAAAACAGTTGTTTGTAGAGTGGTGAGTCAAGAATTAGAAAAACATGCTACCCTATTTAATGTGGCAAAAGCAGTTCCAAAAGTCCTCTCATTTGTTTGCATTGAGATGTACAATATGAAGATTCACTTCTAGTGGTGGTGATGCTCACCCTTAATCTCAGCACTTGGGAGGCAGGCGGATCTCTGAGTTAGAGGCCAGCTTGGTCTACAGAGCCAGTTCCAGGACAGTCAGGGTCACAAAGAGAAACCCTGTTTCAAAAAGCAAAGCCAAAAAAAACAAAAAACAAAACAAAACACCCTCAGCGTTCAGAAGCTGCAAACTGTTCTGAAACAGATAACCAGGAGCAACTGACAATTTAAATGGTCCAGCACTGAGCTAAAGTCTTCATGTAGAAGTCACACCCCTGACAATCCTGTGAGGCAAACATCTTCATTTTACAGAGTCAATAGGCATTATTTAGTAAGCTAATCACCATTTTTTCAATAGCTATAATATTTACATTTCCAAGTTGAGTTACAGGAACTGGTCCTTAAATTGTTTTTTTAACATGTAATTAATTTATTTTTCTTTTGTTTGGCAGAGGATGTACCATAACACAAGTATAGAAATCAGAGAACAATTTGCAGGGTCTGGTTCTATTCCTTCCACTGTGTGAACTCCAGGGATGAAACTGGGGTTCTCACACTCAGAGGCCTGCTGAGCCACCTCATCAGCTGATGGAACTGTTTTTACCAAGCCCTACTGTGAGAGTAGCACTCACACGTGCAAAACAAATTACATGTCCCTTATCTAGTCTGCGTGTAAGACGGAGGACTGAAAAGCAGGGAAATATTTAGGACGTTAAACATCATTGCAGCTTTGATGTTACGAATCCCAAGTGACTTTCTTGACAACCAATAGGAAGCATATTAGCCTTGGCTGGTGGTGACATGCTGGTTTATTAGCACTCACCTTTTAGACATATGCTATGTGGTACCATTAACTGTCTAATGTTCTGCATACATGATCCACTGCCTCTGTTTTCTGTGTGCTGCATATATTTTCATATACTGAAACCTTTACTTAGCTTTGCACATGTGCGAGTTATCAGATGCTGTGTCAAGTTTCCATCCCAAAGTAAATATATTCTGCTTTTGTATCCCACTCCTCCAGGCAAGCGCCTGCTCATCTCTCCCGGAATGTGATTAGGCCTAGTTTCACACAGTAGTGGGTATAATTAGGTCACTGCCTCTTGGTGGGGCAAGTCTAACCTTCTATGCTAATCCACTAGACGCTTTTTAAAAATGAAGTGCGTGCTCTGTGCCACCCACCAAAGTGCTTTCAGTCAGAGAATAATGAAGCAGCTATTTTTACTCTGACATCAAAAGAAACCCATCAAAAAATGCAAGTTACGAGTATTTTTAAGGTCAATGATAGAAGTTTAAAACAAAACAAATAACTTACAAAGAAATTTAAGTGACAGTTTCAAGTCACATCTTCTTCCCCACAAATGTTTTAGAATCACAAGTTTATGTGGGTGAAGGATGCACAAGAGCCCCGATTTGTGGAGTTGGGGAGCTGGCTCAGCGATTAAGAGCACTTGATGCTCTTGCAGAGGGTCTGGGTTTGGTTCCCAGCACCCACGTGGCTGCTCACAACCATCTGTGACTCTAGTTCCCGATGGGCCAATGCCCTCTTCTGGACTCCACAGGCTCCTGCACATGACATACACTCATGTAGGAGCAAATACATACACATAAAAAAAAAAAAAAAAACCTCTATTTTAAAATCTGAATGCAGAAACCCATAGACAAAGCAGGTTCCAAAACTCCTGTCAGGTGACCCCAGTGTACCAGCAAAGCCTTTTGAAGGCTCGTGTCCCTGTGCCCTCTGGCTCATGAGAAGTCCTAACTACCATCTTCTTCCAAAGCAAAGTAATTGCACCAAGTAAAACTTAGAGCAGTCATCTGGAAGGTAGAAACAGGAGGAATCACATCTTGGATCCCAGGTTTTATTACCAGGGACCTTTTACACATGGGGTGAAGGACAAAATAGAATCCTGGACCGTTACTTAAGTATCTGCCAAAGACACTGTTCACCCTCGCTGGACACAGTAGCTAGCATGCACTTGCAATAAGCACTTGGCAGGCCAGGTGAGGGACCCTGAGCTCCAGCCTGGCCCACAAAGCCTACCTCAAAATAACAGAAGCTTGCGCCCTGTATAAGTACTTCCTATGCTTTGATTCACAGAGATAAAGCAGACACAATCATGAATGAAACCATCCTGTTTGGACATGCATTTCTTGTTGTTTTACCTACTTTAGAAAAAGAAACCCAGTGTACTACAGATCCCCTTCCCACATCCTTAAATACTTTAGTTCAGGCACTTAACATCAGATTTTAAGAGTAAATCTCTGTTGTTTCAATCGACAAAGAATTTGTTACAGCAACCCTGAAATCCAATACGATTAACGACGAATTTACTTTGGCAGTAATCTGGATGTTTTGGGAGACTCCAGAGTTCAAAGCCGAGGTATGTCTAGAGGAGGAAGGCTGCTGGCAGGTGTGTGCCCGTCGGGGCAATGTGGCCAAGGTGACCAGGATACTGGCAAGGGTATAGTTGAAAAGGTGGAATACAGGATACACATGAGATGGGAAACAAGAGTGAAGAAAAAAAAATTTTTTTTTTAAAGATTCAAGTGGATAAATCAGAGGTGGGGTAAAAAACATCGTAACGTGGTAACTGTGGTAGTTTGAAAAAGAATGGCCCCCACAGGCTCATATATTTGAATGTTTGGTTCCTAGTTGGTGGACTACTTAGGAAGGATTAGGAGGTGTAGCCTTGTTGGAATAGGTATGCTACTGGAGGTTTTAAAAGCCCACACCAGGCCCAGTCTAGTCTCTCTCCTCTGTTCTTTCTTTCTCTCTCTTTCTCTCTCTCTCTCCCTCCCTCCATCCCTCCCACTCACTCTCTCTTGCACACATCATCTCTTCACAGCAATAAAACAGTAACCAAAATAAAAAATAAATAGCAATCTCTGGTTCATGCTAAATTATAGCATCCACATCCTATCAGAGAAGCCAAAGTGAATGCTGCATATGAACAAAAGCACGCACACACACACACACACACACACACATTTTTAAAGAAAAGTAAGCAGAACTAACATTCAGTCAAGAAATGTCACTCCTGGGAATGTACTGGAATGACTCTAAGTCAGTACAGTAAGAGTCACCTTTGTGTTCATGTTTATGGCGGCACTATTCACAACAATCAAGTTATGGGATCTATCTAGGTATCTATCAACAAGTGAATATGTAAAGAAAATGCTATATACACAATCAAGTTTTATCACAACCTCCAAAAAGAATGAATTATGTCATCTACAAAAAAATGGACGAAACTGAAGATTACTATATTAAGCAAAATAAACCAGACCCAGAAAGATAAATATCATATGATAGGTTTCTCTCACATGTGTGTGTGTGTGTGTATGTGAGAGAGAGAGAGAGAGAGAGAGAGAGAGAGAGAGAGAGAGAGAGAGAGAGAGAGAGAGAGAGAGAGTTGTAGGAGAGGGACAGGAGAGGGCAACAGGATGACATAGGAATGCTAGAGAGATTGCTCAGTGGATAACAGTGCTTGCTGTACAAGCGTCAGGACCTGAGTTCAAACCCCCAGGATCCACATACAAAGCCAGTCATGGCGGCACAAGTGCCTACAACCCCAGGACTGCAGGGCAGAGAGAAGAGGACTGCCGAGCTTGCTGAGACTGGAGAGCATTTGGTGAGCTGCTTTTGCCCGTTTCCCATAAGAGCTGCTTCAGCCTACCCACCCGCCACCATCAGATCACCTAACCTGATCTGCTGGAGAGAACAGAGCAGGCTCTTCTCCACCACCCAAACCAAAAATTATGTCGAGGCTCAACCCTACTTCTGGCCTTGGAAAACTTACTGCTATTCCCATTCCCCTCCGATTTCTCAGAAAAAGGCTCTATCATTAATCCTTTACTTTCAGCTTTTGTTTGGTGAATCTCAGCTTCAAAAACACTATGCTTGGGGCTGGAGAGATGGCTCAGCGGTTAAGAGCACTGGCTGTTCTTCCAGAGGACCCAGGTACGATTCCCAGCTCCCACCTGTCTGTAACTCTAGTTCCAGGGGATCTGACACCCTTGCACAGACATACATTCAGACGAGACACCAATGCACATAAAATAAAAATAAATCTTAGAAAAATATGAAAAAATAAAAAATAACCCACTATGCTCCCAAGCCATCCTTGATGGGGCTTTCTTCCCTTCTGGTTACTTGAACCCTTTTCTCTTTATCAGCAAGCCCCCTTATACCTCCACTTGTATCATTTCACTACATTCAACTCTGGCTTCTGACACTTCAGTCCTATGCAACTTATTCACCAAGGTCACCAAATAGATGGTTGTTGCTGCATTCAAAGGCTTCTTTCAGAATCTACGCCCAAGGGTATTTCTGGCTCCTAGAAACCGGTTATCTGAAAGACATCCCACAGAAGGCATATCCACTGTCTGTATGTACCCAGCCGTGCAGTCAGACCTATTACTGTTGAAAAGATTGATTCAGATCAAATCAATGCTTACAGATACAAACATGACCATTTATCGCCATACAGGAGACAAGTGGGTTGTTTTTTAATCTCCATCTACTTTGTAAAAACATAAATAAGGCATTTCTTCGGTGACTTTTCTAGCATCTTTGGAATCAGGATGAATCATCCTCTATTCCTACTATATGTCATCACATGCTCTGTAAATATCTCACTTGTGGTTCAAGGCAGATTTAAAAATCATGAGGTATAATTACTTTTACTGAGTCTCCTTTAAATGGAACTCAATTACTGCAAAACTCTGAAAAAGAGGAACTATTTTGGGATAATGATAAAGCCAGAAACAAGTAGTAAGTGGCTAGAAGAGTAAGAAGGGACGATCTACTCCGCAGTTCCGGATAGCTACAGTCAATGCTGCTACCTTTCCAGAGGACACAATTTCTGATTCCTTTTATTTTCTGTTTTGCTGGAAGTAGACTTCATGACAGTACAGACAACTTTACTACCTTAGCTGCTCTGCCTCTTTACGAAGACCAACCCTGGGCTCCAGCCAGACCAGTCTCCACATAATGTATCATAGTACACTTTCTATTCAAACAGTCAAGAACTAATTCAACTTCTGACTCCCTAAATTTTCTCTCTCACCCTGCCTGTCCTAACAGTCCTCCTCTGCTCAGCAATTTTGTGTGTCTGTGTGTTGAGATGTGTGGATGCATGGGCACACATGCACATAAGCACCTGTACTGTCAAGGCCAGAGTTCCTGATGTCCTGTGTTCTCCTCACTTTTTACATTATTCTTTAAAGACAGGGTCTCTCACTGAACCTTCGTTAATTGGCTAGTCAGCCAGGCCCAGGGATCCCTGTCTCTGCTTCCTGAGTGCTGGGGTCACAAGCTTGTGCCAGTGCTCAGCCTTTTATGTGGGTGCAGGGAACCAAACTCAGGTCCTCCTGCACAGCAAGCATTTTCCCAGCCCCCCTACTTGACAATTTGCACATGGTTCTGACTATTGGATCATACACTATACTTTATACACTGATCATACAATAGTACTTCTGTATTATTGGATCATACACTTTCTAAATGTGCTCATCATAAATTTTTATGCTGATGTTGTCACCAACATACTTTGATCACATGATACTGACTACAAGACAAAGGCCTTGAAGGGAAGGCATAATATTATTCATTAAAATTAAATACAAATTTATATATTTAAAAAGACATGTTTGGCCGGGCGGTGGTGGCGCACGCCTTTAATCCCAGCACTCGGGAGGCAGAGCCAGGCGGATCTCTGTGAGTTCGAGGCCAGCCTGGGCTACCAAGTGAGTTCCAGGAAAGGCGCAAAGCTACACAGAGAAACCCTGTCTCGAAAAACCAAAAAAAAAAAAAAAAAAAAAGACATGTTGTAACAGGTTTATCTTTCTCTGAACTCTACTCATCTTTCAAAGTGAAGCCACAGTCCCAGTGTTTCCTGATTATTTCAGATCTTGTCAGTGTCCATCCCTGAAATATTCAAATCATCCTTCATTAAAAATACTAACATAGGAGTTGCTATAATACACCTGAATTGCTAAAGAAACTAATAATGGCCAACACAGTAAAGATGCTTTTTACAGATAAGAAAGGTTTTAGATTTTTTTAATTGCATGTTGTATGTATGTATGTATGTATGTATGTATGAAAGTATATATATATGTGCATGTGCTGATGGAGAACAGAGAGTCAGATCCCTTGGAGCTGTTACAAGTTACCTGACATGATTGCTAGGAACTGAACTCAGGGATCCTAACTTCTGAGTCATCTCTAACATGTTTTTAATTTCTATAACCAAAATTAAGTGGGAAAGTTCCTTAAATTTAACATTATAAAGCCTATAATGTTAAGACACTGTTAACAGTTAAGACACTGTTCTATGAAAACATGCATCTTGTAACTCTGAAAACAATGTCATTCTTTTTAGGCACATGGATTATACATCCAGGGTAATTCCCAGGCACTCACAACAGGAATAACCAGACATTCCTTTGTGGCTGTGTAGCATGGGTGGATTGTTGGGTCTTCCATAATGACATCTGAGAACAATCGGCAAAAGCAGGAGTACTTTAGTGGCCAGCTTTGAAGAATGCTGGTCGACAGAGGAGTTCAACCACAGGAGACTAGGAACTACGACAAAGTTCACTGCCACTGTAAACCGTGACGCCTTGATGCAATGAGGAAACAGGAAGACCTTGATGCACTCAATTCTAAGAAGGTCAGTGCTAAGGCTTGTGTTTGACTAACTCGTCTTTCCTCAGCTTGGATAATGCCATGCCTTCCCTTCAAGCCCTATGCACACATACTTTATTACTTGACTTTGGCACTTTGGACCACATTTCACTTATTTTATCTTCTGGTAAAGGCCATTTAAAATTCTATGAGGAAAGAAGGATAATATGTTATAAATAACTATGAATGAGGGATTTTTAAGCTTCTGTTCTCAAAAGTTCTGTTGAGTTTTTCCATGGAATCCCATATTACTGATAATATCACAAAATTAACCCAAAGAACTGTGGGTGTGGGGAGACTAAATTATTTCAATCAAAGTGGCTTTTAATCTACAGGTAAGACAACACAATACAAATGCCTCAGATTTAATAACTAAGGAATTCTGTAGCACTATCACACTGTCAAAGGCATGTTGTTTAAAAGTACATAAATAACCACATAATACAGATTATTTTAAATATGATAAATGAATCATAAGAAATTACAGGCAAATATTTATGTATTTATGAAAGAAAAGTATTTCAGTACCCACAAGAAATTACCCTGAGCAGCAAAGACAATGTTCATGGGCAAAGACAAAAAGGACTAGCACACATAAGAGTTTCCTATATTAGAATGGCAATATAGAAACATAATAAATTCATATTGTTTAATACATATGATAGCCTAAGCAGAATGCAAGTGAACAAGTTATGCATTTGGTGTTGTGTTTTGTGGAGCTGTTATGATTTACTTGAAAAGTAAAGGGCTATGCACTTCTTTTGCACACCCACACACCATCAAGATTTGAAAGTGCTGTAGTATTACTTTATAATATTCCAAATAAGTTATGCCTTTTTAATGCAAGAAAGTACTATCTAGAAAAAATGCAGAAAGAATATTTTGAATAAGAAAGGATTAAAATCTACAAACCAAAAGAGAAAAACTGCAACCTTGATAAAAAAAAGTACTATCTAGAAAAAATGCAGAAAGAATATTTTGAATAAGAAAGGATTAAAATCTACAAACCAAAAGAGAAAAACTGCAACCTTGATAAAAAAAAAAGAAACTTGACACACATCCAGATTAACAACAAACAAGATAAACCTTTTTTGGACAAACCCAAAAAAGAAACACAGCATGTTCACAATGAAGTTATGTACAAAAGCAAAAGGCCGCCATATGCTCCTGTTAAAATGAATTCCTTGATTGGAGACTTCAGTGAGTTTATTATATTCAGGTCAAAATTGGACCTTGCTGAGAACCAATTTTCATGTGAACAGGAAGCTCGAGAGCATTGTTCCATACACTTCAGATCCTTCCCTGCACTCTCCTCTAAGTCGCGTCTGAAGCCGTTTCAAGGCATTTTGCATGCTGCTGCCATCACTCAGTTGCCAGTGTGACAGGCCAGCAAAGCCTCTCCTGTGCCTCCTTTTCTCACTTTTGCCTCCAGAGGGAGGAGTGGGAGGACATGGCAGTGTATGGAACAATGCTTTCACGGTCAGCGCACAGTACAAGTCATCACACAGAGCCAATACCACAAGTTGTACTTACAGACACCTCTTCTTCCACAGTTCTGAAGTTTAAAATAAACATTTCATAAATGTCAGTAATAAGCAATTTCCAGGGTGCTACCCTTAATATATATATCCCAATATGTGGGGATAGACAAGAGTTTGAAATGAGTCAAATGCATCAAGTATAAAATGTTCACTGTTTATAACAATGGTAACTCTGTAACAACAGAACACATTCTGGGAATCTTTGTCAGTGATGCTATAAAGCAAGCAGACCTAATATCCAGGCCCTCCTTCCATTATATCCACATCTGGACCCTCCTTCCATTATACCCACCCACTCCTTTACATCTGTCTGGTATTAGGAAAACAGTATCTGACCAAGGACAAAATCTCTCCTACTGAAGGCTAGTGGGACAGAGTGACCCAAAGCTGTCCGACTGTCCCTATGGCAACACCTCAGAACTAAAACTTGCTAACAGAAAATTCTAACAATGGAAACATTAAGAACCACATTCCCAATGTATAACACAGGCTTATTTGAAAATAGTCTTGTGTAATAAAGTACCAAGTATGATGAAAATAAACAATGAAGATATTTTAAAAGGCATGTTTCTATATCGATTTTTATACAACCAAATTTAATTACAGTTACAGGAAACATGTTTCTACATTTCTCTTCTAAAAGTATACGGGGGGGGGGGGGGGGTTCACTCTTTTGTCTGAAATAGTGGTTATTAGCTGTAGCCACCTCACGTGGCCTTCCAGACTGCCCTACATCTCACTTCACAACAGAGCAGTCCTGCTGCGTGAGTACCTGCTGCCTAGTGTTCAAGTTCCAGAACGAAAGTGGCAGGGTACTATCGTTAAGTAGCAGACAACTCTTTGCTCTGGTGACCTGGGTGGCACAGCCTTTGCTGTCCTTTTAGGAAGGTTGGATGAGACGGTACTAAAGCCACTATTTAGTAAAGATCAACGACGCGGAATGCTCCACTAGACAGAAGCACAAACAGAGAACAGACTGGGGAAGGGCCTTAGAAGAGAGCGAACAACTGTAGGATTTAATGTGGACAAAGTAACCAGAGGAAAAATTCAAACGCAAAAGGTGTAAGTGGGAATGGCCAAGTGATTCAATGTCCGGCTCACAGTGCACGAAGGGGCATTCAGATAGTGAATTTTTAAAAGTAGAATGGAGCGCCATCTCTTACAGACATGTCCACCTTCTTCCATGTCCTTTGTGTCCCACGGGTGGCTCAGCAGTTAAGAGCACCTGGGTTCCCAGCACCCACACAGTGGCTCACAACCATCAGTAACTCCAGTTCTAGGAGACCAATGCTGCCTTCTTGACGCCACGGGCACTGCACACTTCAGGGAGTGCACAAACACATGCACAAGCAAAATACCCACACATTAAAAAAGAAGATTAAAAAGGGACTTTCTTTCGATCATTAAAACAAAAGCAGACTGGAACCATGCGAAGACTTGGTCAAAGCCTATGAAAGTGCCATCAATCTTCAAATGCCTCTCTGAACAACGCCTCACTCTCCAACTCTCCCTTCACAGGCTGCATGTCTCTATGTCCCTAGGATACTTTCATTTTTACTTCTGACGACAATGCACGTCTTGTTTTCTAAACTCTACAGTCCTCAAGAAAATGAGTGTGTAAGAACATGTTCTGAACAAATCAACACATACGTGATGGTCCGAGAGTGGTACTTGACTCAAGGCAGCCGGCAGCAGTGTCTGGAGTGGGTTAGCAAAGGAGCAGTCAGGGCAGGCAGTGAGAGCCGGAGGAACACAGAAAGGGAGAGGCGATAGGCGATGGCGCCCACACCAACAGGACACGAAGGCCATGGCAGAGGAGGCTGTGTGCGGAAGAGATGGCCCCAAGGCCTTCAGGGGAACTGAGGGTCAAATCAGGAAAGCAAAAGGTTTTGCCAAAACCTGGAGAAAAGTTACACATTTCGGTAATTAGGCTGAGGAAATTTCCCCCTCAGAAGCTATTCATGAGGTATTATTACTGGTAAGGACAGGAAAGTTGGAATCTAGTTGAACAGTATTCTGATAGAGCAGAATGCATATATTAACAAATGAAAGTCATGTTGTCAATTATTACAACTTTGAAAACAGTTCTAAAACAGGTGCATGACTGGACCAGTCTAGTTAGTTCGCTCTGTGCACACTGAAGCAGAGAGAGAGAGAGAGAGAGAGTGAGTCTCTCTCAGAGGCGACTACTTAAGGCTTGGGCTGACTTTCCTTCTGCCTCATTTTCCTACTTGTGACACATGTTCTTTTTATAATAAAAATAGACACCTTTATCTTTAATAGAAAGAGACCCTATACTGTAAATATCAGGTTATGAGGCATATCTGAGACTTAGTGGCTAAAACAAGGGGAAAATGGAGCCCTGGTTTGAAAGAATGGGCACTTCAAATATGATTTTGGGATTGGTTGCAATTGTTTATACTCTGGAAGAAATACAAACAAATACACAAAGACAGTCAAGGTACTTGTAATAAATAATCCAATAATTCCAAAAAGAACCTATTTGTACAGTGTACTGGACATAATTGGTGTTATATTTTAAGGTAAAAATATTCCATTCCAAATGTTCACTGATCCTTAGAGAAATGGAAATGGACTCGGTAAATAAAGGAATTAGACCAAACAAAAAAGTTACTATAATGAACCATGCCCCCTACACACACACACTTAAACAAAATTTATAATACACCCGAGGAGCTCAGAGTGAAATCTTTGATTGGAGAGTTGCTGCAGGAACAAATTTTGTAATATTTGAGGCAGAAAAACTGTGACCTTATATTGAGAAGTGCATGAGCTTTGGCATGAAACAAACCAACTTCAAATTACAATCTTTCTACTCACCCACATGACCCCAGACAAGTGGCTGAAAGAAGCCTATCTGTAGAGGGATGGCACACGGCTCCGTTGGGAGAATTAAGCAGCATGTGTGACAGTGGGTTGGGAGGTTGGGGACTATGAACCCAGGATGGCACCACCAGACGGAGTCAGCAGGTCTGCGCTGAAGCTAAGTGTCCACATTTTTACAATGCAGAACAACTGATTCTACTACATAGGTAAGGGAAGGGAAACCATCTATGACTCTATGCCTGGAACATGATGGGCATCTGTTAATGTTAGGTGGCTGTTTCATATAAACTAGATGTCTTCCATCATTTTCCACAAAGGTTGTCATAAACTGGTTCATTAAAAAGATAAAGACAGAATCTGTCCACAATGAAAAGCTCAGGTTTTTTTCTTTGTTTGTGTTTGGTTTTGTTTTTGCTATAGACGTGAGTTAAAAGGAACAGAGTCAACAGAAGTGCCATTTACAGTGTGTAAATCACCAAGTCACTTAGGTGGCCTGTGTACTCACCCCACTGATCAGGACATAAATCTCCTCTTAGGTGTTGCTGCGCTTACGTATCACAATCAATAGACAGGATTTGCTCCTTATGACATGACCTCAAAAGAAAGCCAACTGCTAATCTACAAAGATATCTGCAAGTGTGGGGAAGCAGAATAGGTCTCAGAAAATATTCCTGCAAATGTCAAAGGTCTATTGTACGATCACATTTTTTAACATAACGGAAAGGTCTTGGCATATTTATAAATGGCTCTCAGCAATTAAGAAAAGTGCCATGAAAGGCCAGGGTGCATGGTATTTGATGCCCCCAATATTTCAATTGTTTGTATGCCTGTCTGTCTTCCTTACCATCTTTCACATGCTGCTAAGAAGGGTGGCTGAAATTCCATCCTGGGAGAGGCTAACTGACTAAAATAAATGGAGTGTCTGCTGCACAGGGTGGTGACCTATGCTGCCTTTACTTCTTCCCTATACCCAGCCACTGCAGCAACAGACCGTCAGCAGGTAGGCGCGAACCAAGCCTCAAGGTGAGGCAGGTAAAGCCTGAGCTGCCTGTAAATGTACGGCTGTTGGCTGCAGTTTTCTCACAGCAAAGGAGGGCTACAATAACCAACACAAACAAGAGAGCCAGGAACAGGTCCACAGATATCAAATATCCAGCATAAAATCCAGCATTAAATGTGGGCAGTTCTCTTTTCCTGAACAAACTGAAGGGCTCTGTTCAAGTGTGCTGATCCAAATTACTTGGTGGGAATTTCCTTTATCTTTAGTGTGTAACTCAGTGCCAGCCAGGTTCCTAGAAAGGCTATATCCTCCATTTCCTCCTATATAGATTTTATGCATACAAGCTAAGTACAAACAGAAATGCGGACGTGTTTTAATTTTTAAATAGAAATGACCGATTTCAAACCTAAAACTTAAATATATCTACATGCTCATTTGGAACCTTAATAGATAAGCCTATTTGCTTGGTGACTCAACCTATAAATAGACTGAAGTTATGAATACCCGAGGGATTACGTTGTTAAACAGCCAGGCTCCAAACAACATTTAAAGTACTGACTGTCACTTCTCAAGCGGTCTTCAGGTCCCGCAGGCTGATGTCTACAAGGTGACTGCTCGGTCCACACCGGCCCTGACTGCCCTTTCTTGTACTCCCCTCATTCATGAATGCTCTTTCTGCCTATACAGCTCACATAGTCTCCATTGTTCAAGAGGAATTCAGCTGCTTACAAGAGTCACCAATTCAGTACCACAGGACCCTCTTAAATGAGTACTCTTCATACTATTTAGCATAATATCTGCATAAAACTTAGCACTTAGCATACATGTTAATTTGGACATTTTTCACAGTGTGTCATTTGTATCTCTATCCATTAGGACTATAAACTTCTTGAAGACAAAATCCTGTCTCAAACTGGACCATGCTTTAAAACAAATGCTTCTATCTCCTTCCTCTGCATAGTCAGGAGAGCCTTATTTCCAGGTCATTTCAACAGGACTCAGAGCTTTCAAATGAGCACACCTGTGCCTCCTACTGGTGACTATGACTATTACAACTGCACCACCTATGACAAAATTATAATGGCTGGACCAAATCATTACTTGTTGAAATCAAAGAAAAATTACAAATCATCGGAGATTATAATGAATAGAGTGTTTGAGGGCAATCATTTCAAGGTTTAAGATTACATTATACATTTTATTATAAGTGATAATTAAAACAAAAAAGTGAAGCTTCTTTCCTCTAAATTAGTAACTATTTTTGAGTTTGGATTATTCCAGTATTTAAAAAAGAAACAACAATGATCATATACTGAAAGATTCTGTGATTAGGAGTCTGTATGAATCACCCACACCGAATACCTACTAGTATAACATATAATGTTCTGAAAAGCATGCTAGGACACTACTTTGTATTACTTTTGGGGACTTTTTTAAAGATTTGGTGCAACTAATACCGACTCTCTTCATTTGCAGGGCAATTCCCCAAGAAAGAATCCAGCAAGATGGTAAAACAAGCACACAGCACACAGATGGTAACAATGAAGTGATTCAAAGAAAACTCAATGACTACCACAGAAACAACCTACTTGTAAAACATTACGTCATTAGTGTTCCATTCGTAAGTTAGTTTTCCAAGTGTTCTCTGTCCTGGTCAAACGGACTCTAAGGAGAGACCTGGCCTCCCCTGCCTTGCTCCCCACCTCCTGCTCAACAATGCTGCTCTGGCTTTATCCTTACCTCCTGATGTTCCGAACCCATGTTTGCCGGCCTCTGCTGTCTGTGCAGTAGACAGCTGCAACACTAAGCTCGGCTGCAATTGAGAATCATGAAGATGGCACTCTATGGTCATTTGTTTTAATGTGCAGTCTCTGGGGTTCTATTGGAATACTAATTATAAGATCATTTGTTATGACAACAAGATTGCTTTTCACAATGTACTGTCAAAAGCAGATCTCCACAACCTGAAGATCAGGAAGCCATGCTGGGCCTCCTTTTCTAAAGGAGCACTCTGGACTCAATGGCCTCTAAGACTCACTCTTCACTGCCCAACCGGGTGCAGATCTTCCTCTCTGTTCACTTCAAATCCTGTCGCCTCCCAAGAAAGCAAATCTGTCTCCAACACCGCCAACTGTGGCCTGCTCCTGTCACCTCGCACAGCATCCCAACCCCCACCTGTGGCCATTGACCTTCCATCATCTGGCCGCTGGCCTCCTGTGCCTTTCTCTCTCTCACATCCTCTCTCCAACCATGCAGCTCCCTCTTGCTATGACAGTGTTTTTTTGGTTTGGAGACTAACTGCAATTATGCTATAAATGAAGGCGCATAGACTCCTCGGTTCAACACTGTTCCAGTAACTGGTCACTCCCTTCCCCTTGCTGTCTGCCCCTGTTTTGTGAGATAATGAAAACTGCTCTGGAAGCTTGTGAGGAGGAAGGGAACTGAAGACATTAAAAATACTCAGCACAACGCCTGATACTTATAAATACTCAATGTTAGTGCTATTACTGTTTTAACAATCAACATGTTTCTTCTTTTTCAGCACAGGTTTCTAGTCCACAATTCTAAATGAAATTTAAAAAAATATATAGTCTGGTTTTCTAGCCAAGGCAAATGAGATCATCATGAATTTCTCTCTCTTTTTTTAATGATATACAGGGGGAGGGGAGGGGGATCAGTCACCAGTTCTGGCAGGAAAAAATGACTGCATGTGGTTACTGACTAGTGTTCTGAGTGACAACTAAGCACTATACATTTCTCAAGGGTGCAGCAAAGTTATCAGGTTGCTAGATTTCAGAACACAACAAATATACTCTGATCAACTACAAAACAATCTCTCCATTATCTTTCTGTATTAAGGATGATCTTTATAAGTAAAAGATATGTCCCAAAGTCAACCTCTATTAACTGAGAAATGTGTTTCCTGATGTCACATATTACTAAACACATACACTAGAAACCACATTGTCGAGTCTACGTTAGATACTAAAGTGGTACTACATCAGAGAGAGGGGAGGAGAGAGAGACAAGAGTGAACACACGGGTGTGAGCAAACCACATGAATGCCTCTCCACCACATTCCACAGCTACAAAGAAGCCCACCCTTCATGAGCTTCTGATGTAGACAGGCAAGAAGGCAGTGTCCACTGGCAGAGTGGAAGTCAACACCACAAGTCTATATCATATTAGTTATAATCACAGAGTCTCAAAAATAACCCAGACTGCCCATAGACAGTTCTGGTTTTACCATCCCAATGTGATTTTGGACCAGTACAAAACATTTCTTCAAAATCATGGTACTTAGATGTAAAGACGCTTTCTTTTAGCAGATTATACTGGGTATCCTAAAGCACTTCAGACTCTAAAAGAACAGTGATGCCATTTAGGGAAAGAAGCAGACCTTCTCTTACATGGTTCAAGGCCTTTCATGTTGGGCACAGGCAATTTTATGGCATGTACCATTTAGAAGAGGAGGGTGATTATTATTAGTCACAGGTGAGCACTGTCCTAATAGGGCTCACTAGATGTCAGAGAGCTAGCTACACATAAATCTCAGAAGAATGTCCCACATTTATTTTAAAACACATTTTAAGGTAAGTGCTTACCTTCTCTTAGACGGTCCACCACAAAAGTAAATCCAGTAGTTCTTGGATGTAAGACATATTCGTATTTTTGAAGTCCATTCTTCTCAGCAAAATCATTACTCCGAGCCTTGTTATTTTCTAAACAAAATAATAGACTGTTAGTAAAGTAAAAGATGGTAGTGGGTAATGAAAAACAGTAAGAATTTCTTAGATAAAAATACCACTTATGACCAGGCATGGTGGGCACACCTTCAAACCTTGGACTCAGGAGGCAGAGGCAGGCAGATCTTCAGGAGTTCAAGACCAGCTTAGTCTACATAAATTCCAGGACAGCCAGGACTAATAATGAGACCTTGCCTGCCCCCAAAAGATATTTACATATTCCATTGTTACAGACAGTATATGAAGATGATGTAAACATTTTGCATATGTGTATGAATGCTTTGCTTGCATATCTGTGTACCAGTGTGTGTGATGCCCAAGGAGGCTAGAAGAGGATGTCAGATTTCCTGGAACGGGAGTTTCAGACAGAAGTGAGCAGCCATGTGGGTGCTAGAAACCAAAGTAGATCCTCTACAAGAGTATCAAATGCTCTTAATCACTGAGCCACTTCTCCAGCCCCAAAATGCAAACATTTGTGATAAGCCCTTACAAAGAACTCAATCTATTGGTATGTGTGTAGATATATGTAAATATATGTTAGGAACAAGGCCTTCATAAGTTCCCTTAAATTTATATCGCAAAATTTAAAATTATTTAAAAGCCAGTATGTAACAAAAATTAAGATGTAAAACACAAAAAAACTACTAAGCTCAAATGTTCATTAACCTTTACAGAGGCGAGGATGTAATTCAGTGTTAAAGCAGTTGTCTACCATGTGCAAGGCCCTAGGTTCAATCCCCACCCACCAACAGTAATAATAAAAAAAATCCCTAAATAATGAAAGTTCAAATATAATATAAAATGCTAATAAAACTGAAAATTAACAAAAGTCAAGGATTTAGAGACATCCAGAAGAAATGGCCAGCAATCAAATATATCAGATCAATGTTTTCTTTAACCCAATAATTTAGGCTTTCAAAGCAGAGTGAAATATCTGCCTTGCTCAAGCACAGAGGGGCTAATATTACTAACCAAAACCACTGCACAACAAAATAAGCACATGATTAGCACATCATGTACAAACATCTGAACATGGTTTGGCCGAATATAGTTACAGAGACAAGTATATGTTCCAATTGTTGGCAATAACTTCTTTTTCCATTCCATGAGGTCACTTTACAAATTTCAAGAAGAACCAAACTCATTATTCAGCAAATACAATTGGAAAATAAAGTGTTCAAAAATGTGGCCTGGACTAGAGATCATGAAACACCTTCTGATGACAGCAGACATTAGGGCCTGTAAACCAGCTCTATTTGGAAACCTACAGGCTAGTATAAGAAACACATCTACACAAACACAGCTTTCCTGGGAGTAAATTTAAGATTGGGAGTTCTGCAGCCCTCCAGCAACCACAGATGCCTCCCCCAACACAACAGCCAGCAGATACTCTTAGAGGCCTTGTTCATTTCTGACAGAGGCACTGAGTCCAGTGTCCACAGCTTCCCCAGCAACTAAAGGGAAAGGCCTTGGACATGAAAATCAGTCAGCTCTTCTCCAATAGTCTATGACTATCCTGGGCACGGGGTGATAAAACAGTACTTCTGGTTCACCAGCTGGCAGACCTTAAATGGGATTAGCAGTCCCAGAGGTACCAGAGAGGTGAGCAGTCTGTTTTCCAGTTGTTGGTGACTTGGGGTTCTCAGATATAAATGAATTCTGTTGCAGATGTGAATACAAACACACACAGCTCTAAAATGTACAGTCACACTGTGGGAAGTTGGAAATGATCAGACCAATGAGTGTGGCGATGTTCTCCTCCTCCTTCATCTTCCCGTTCCCAGGCCGTCATTATTAGTAACTGCACTAGCATCCCATTTTCCAGCCGCAGCCTCTTGCCAGCTCACTGCCTGCAATGTTCCCACTCCAGCACCGCCTCCACCCACACCCACAGCACTGCCGGCCACTCATCTTCTCAAGCCAACCTGGCATGTTCCGACCTCAGGCCTGTGCAGCTGGTGTCCAATTACCCAGAAGGTCTCCTGCTGTTGATGCCGTCTTCTGCCTTCTACATATGGTCCCTACTTTTTAAGAGAAACTCAATAGAGAGGCTTGCCCTGATCACTTTACAGACTAGCATCCTTTACTCTCTATCTACCCATCCTGCTTTATTTTTCTATACAAACTCTTACAACATCTGTACAGATTATTAGCTTATTCCTCATCTAACATAAGTTCCAAAGAAGGGAATTAATTTTGTATATAAAGTTTTAGACACTAGGATATTTACTACATAAAGAAACTTTATATACAAGAGTGTCAAATTACATGTAATATCATTGTTAAAACCAGAAATAGCTTTTTTTTTTCCAACTCAGGAAAATGGAACTAAAAATTATACCCTAACAACTGTGATGCCTAACTTTGTGTGAACCTGACGAGGCAGCATGTGTTGCTTTCTTAACTGTCAACTTGTCACAACCTAGAAGAACCTGGAAAGAGTCTTAATGCAGAATTATCTAGATCAGTGGGCATGTCGAGGGGGGACTGTCCCCACTATGGGTGGCATCATCTCCTGGAGAGGGGTTCTTCACCAATATGAGAAGAAAGGGAGCCCACTGCCAGCAAGGGCGCATTATCCCCTCTGCTCTGACTGTGGGTGTGAGTGGCCGTTTGAGGCTCCTGCCCTGACTTCCACCCAGTGAGAGACTGTGGGCTGCAGCTGTAAGCTTGGGACCTTTCTCCACGGGCTGCTTTCAGTTAGGGTATTGCTCATTACAACGGAAAGGAAGCGAGGACCGTACAAACATCGGTTCCAGAGGCTTTGGGGAGGGTGTTTTCAGATAGGATCAACAGTTCAACCAGTAGAGCAGCACGGCAGATTACTTACTCCACAATGCAAATCAACTGTCTTAGAAACGGGGGTATCCTTACCTGCCCTACAAGGAAGGAGACTTCTGCTGTGGACTGCCTCCTACAGCTGCTCCTCTTCTCGGAGCTCTGAACTTGCCAGGCCAACCACCCCCTTAGGGCAAACAAACCTTAATCTTTGCTCAAGCATATCTTAACAGAGCTTTCTTTAGACACCCCATACACAATATAAAACCTAAAACCACAGTCTTTCGAAAGACAAACGATGTGAAAGATCACAACATGATAAGCTTGGGTACCATTAATTAACTGAGTGACGTTGGGGGTCGTCCATTAATTTTGTTGATATTCACATACTTCATGTTAGGAAAAGAAGATTTGACTAGTGGTTTCTAAGTTTTTAAATTCTATGATCCAAACCCAGGCTGCCTTACCTGTGAGGTCAGTTCCTTCTGGAAAGATGAGAAGTTGTAGTGGTTCACGGATGTCACAAAAATAATCAATCATGTCTTCAAAATGGTTCTTATCGTCCTTCCACTTCCTATGAATGAAGATGAAGGCAGCAGCTTGCATGGCCCAGCCTAGGGAAAAATTAACAAGCATTTGCATGAACTTCAACAGTGATATCCACATCCTACTAATCATAATTTTCAGATCTTTAAGTTTTGACTATGTTTACTATCATAAGCATCCTATGACATACCATACATTTAGCACTAATCTTGGATTAAACTGGTAACACATAAGCCACAGTATTTTTTAAAGGAGTGTGGTGATCCTGAGGTTCGCAAAATTCTTTAAAATCTCCTTTAAGCCATAGCTTGTCACTATAATCTCAAGGCACTACTATTTACCAAGCAGTAAAAAAAGAACTTTCTCAGGTCACAGAAGAATTCTCTAACATTTCATTTTCTATACTCTTAAACTAAACACAAGTGCTAATTTCAACAGTCGTCACCAGGTTTTACTTAAATGGAAAGGGGCATTCTGGAATGTTACTAAGCACACTCCTTGGTGGGTGTATGTGGTCACACTGCCTATCTCAGAGGCAGACCCACCTTATTACTGAAAAGGTAGCCTTGATAAGCCCATCTGTTCTCCATGCCCGCCCACCCTACCCTACCCATTCTTCCCAGGCCTCTGTGGGAGATGCCTGACTCAGGACAGCCTATGCAGTCTCTGAAGAGCTCACACAGCATGATAAGCTTGGGCCACACAGAGTAACTCTGTAGGCCAACTGAATGTCCACCCTGTCTTAAAATTATACCTGGGACCATGGGAAAGTAGAGAGTGTGAAGCAAAGGCAGTCGGGCAGTAAAGACAGCATGTGTAGTGAAGGCCAAAGCCTCTTGCATATGAGCCAAACAGAGCTAATTCTGATTCCCAGCAAAGCACCTTGGTCCCCATTCTTGGCAGCCTATGTATGGGGTCCAGCTCCACAATGCCCATGAGAGTCTTCCTCTCTAACTCACACACAATGACTACAACACTCATCTCAGCAGCTAGGGATGAGGGGTAATGCCTTGCAAGCATGCATGCTGTTCTGGAATACAGATATGCTACAGTTTATCTATCCCGTTCGCTCCTAATTTAGGCTAAACGGAATCTGAGACTCTCTTTTCGCTACTAGAAATCTTTATTCTGGTCATAATTTTTAGGGGTAAATTTTCCTGACATTTTTCATGTTTTCCTGTTACACTTCTTGGTGTCCTCCTCTCCCATTGTTTCCCGTCTTTGGTTGAAATGAAGGATTTTTTTGCCCCTTCTCTTGTTCTCTAAAATCCAGGCTTCCCTAGAACTCAGCCGTCCCATTTGTTCATGTACACTATCAACAGTTCTTTCTGTCTAACAATGTCAGGGAGCATTGGGTGCCACAGGGACACCATGGCTGCCACAGGACAGTATTGCCCAGAATATTAAACATGAACTTCCTACCCCATGGCAGACAATGTGCTGACCTCAGCTCGATTGGCTTGGAAACAGAACACCCCATTTCATTCCTTGGCTTTTTTCACCCTTCTATATTTGGTAAGCCTGCTGAACCACACAACCCCATCAACACTGAGTTCAATTATCAATCTCCACCAACCAAAGCAGCTCTTAATTCTACCACTGTGTAAACAGGAAGACTCCAGTTTAAATTTAAGTTTAATTTTTTAAAAGTAAATAATGCCAAAAATGTATGCTGCTTACCACCACCCTTCTTACAGGACTTGTAGGAACCACTCAATTGCTCCGAAGACTGTTTACTTCTCCATTACATTCCTAAACTAGACGGAAATGTTTTCGATATTCAGATCTGACCCCAAGTCTGCCGACCTCTTTGTTTGTACCCTTCTGTTAGTCCTTTCTTTTGAAAATTGTTTCTGTCCTCACATTCCTGAAATGGATTTTTGGTTCTTAACTTTGGAAGCTGGTTTGGCTAAAAATAGAATCTGAGGTTCCAAATCACTGTTTCCTCAGAATTTCAGAACATTTCCCACAGCCCTCTATCCCTCAGTGCAGCCAGTGCGGCTAGCATCCAGGAAGAAGCCAAACCCAAGCTCATCCATGCGACAGCCTACCAACCACTCCCTCAGCTTTTATGATTTTTCTCTTCTGTCCCAATAACTGAGCTAATTCCAACAATCATATTTTTGTTTTTAATATTTGCCAATGGTTCTTTCCCACACCAGCTATTTTGTGAAAAAAGAGTGTAATTATAAAAATAATGTTTGGTGAATGCTAACAACGTGCTTGGTATTTATTATCCTGAGCATTTCATTTCATTAATTTTTAAGACAACTATGAATCAGTAACAGTTACTATCTTATCTACTGCATAGATGAGGCACTCTGAAATGCCTTCACTATGTAGCCCAAGCCTGAGCTAGCCTCAGATTCACTTTGTAGCCCAGGCTGGCCTTGAACTCACAATAATCTGATTCTCATAACTGTCTCCTAGTATGCTATTTATCTTTACTTTGTTGGCTTGAAATCACAGCATCAAATGTTTTAAATCAGTGTGAAGGGGCTGAAGAGATGGCTCAGTGGTTAAGAGTACACACTGCTCCCTCAGAGGACCCAACTTTGGTTCTCAGCACCCATGTTGGGTAGTTTGTGACCACTCATCACCAGCTCCCAAAGACCTGCCACCTCGAGGTATCCACAGGCACCTGCACTCCTGAGCACATACACACGAGGACACACACACACAACTTAAATATTAATAAACCTTTATAAAATCAGTGCAAGGCATACTCTAAACAGCTTGCCTCCAATATGTACTTGAATTTCTCTAAGTATACTAAGTATAGTGTATATGCTCAGAGAATTATTACTCATATTACAAGTCCAATTGTATACAACATTCAACCCTTTAAAGCTGTACAGTTTCTACAAAGGTTATTTATACTGTGTTCACATTTGTAAAGAATGTTCTCGGGCTGGCAAGACAGCTCAGAAACTAAAGGCCCTCACGGCCAAGCCTGATGTCCTGGGTTCAATCCCAAGGCCTCATGTGGCAGAAGAGAAGTGGTCCTCTGACCTGCACATGTACACCATGGCATCCACATGAACACACACACACAGATGTCAGGAAAAGAAAGCATGCCGCATCGCCCACCTCTCTCCCCTCCGTAGACTACTCTCCTTCCCTGGAGCCTCTACCATTTTCCTTACCACTTAAACGCCGGGCACCAGTGTTTTCAAATCTCTCACACACAATTTCTTTTGTTGTTGTTGTTTTCATAAAAACAAAAAATAACAAGAACATCTTGCAAGGAATTGTTTCCTCATTTTACTGTCACCAGTGCATATTTTATCCGTGTTTAAAAATACTTGGATTTTACTTAACCTTAATGAAATTTTCAAAACCTGTATTTTCATAACATTTACTTAAACTTTCAGAGTTAGTTAATGGCAGTGAAATGTAAAATTATAAATCAGTCTGCGTCTCAAATTTTCACACTTTCCCATGCATTGTCTTCACCTGGGTTTCTACAGAAAGAATGTGTGGTGTCAGTTAGCCCCACCAATACCATCTTCGTTATAAACCCAGTCACAGCGTCAGCATCGATCACCTCTCAAGGAGAGGGGTAAAACCCCTGGGTACTCTGTGTCCTACCACAGTCATAATCTATAATTTAGCTTTGGTCTTCCTTACATTTCTTTTTATTGAGATGTAGAATTTGCTAGAAGAAACTATTCATATGAATGTATTTTTGTTTTGTTTTGTTTTTCGCTTCTCTGTGTAGCCCTGGCAATCCTGGAACTCCCTCTGTAGGGCCTCCAACTCAGAGACCCACCTGCTTCTGTCTCTCAAGTGCTGGGATTAAAGGCATGCACCACCACCAGCTGGGTCAATTGAATATATTTTTAACTTAATACATCCTTTCCTTTAAAAAAAAAAAAACTTATTTATTATGCATACCGTTTTCTGCCTGCATGCAAGCCTATGTGCCAGAAGAGGGCACCAAAGAGAGACACCAGATCTCATTATACAGGGCTGTGAGCCACCATGTGGTTGCCAGCAATTGAACTCACAACCTCTAGAGGAGCAGCCAGTGCTGGTAACCTGAGCCATCTCTCCAGTCCCAATACATTGTTTCTTAATAAGTATACTTCTATGGCATTTTTTTCTTTCATTCATTTTAGTACAGACGGCATACAGTAAAGGAATCATAAAAACATCTGCATTACTCATCTACTACTCTCAGAACTGAACCTTGGTGATAGCTTGGGCATTATCACTGCTGTCTGTATATCCGCTAATGCATGCAATAAGGCATCTTCCGTAGCACTATGAAGACATCAGAAACCAGAGTAGCTAGACAATTGTTCCCTTCCATGGTATTTTCGATTCTGAATAGAGGATAAGGAAGAAACCAAGAAATGCTACCCAAAGGCCTCTAATTAATTGAGAGTGAATAATATAAGCAGATGCAGACTGTAAGTGAAAACACTACCACAAAGTTCCCGAGAAACATTATGACTGAGTGGGTGCCTGTGTGCAACAGGAGCTATACAAATAAATCCAGAAACTAACTAACCAGCAGTCACAGTTCCCAGAATGCCAACCTCAGTCGTGACACTACTGTCACATAGTCAAAGTCAGGGAAACACCATCTTCCTGGGACTTATGTAACAAATGGAGTAATGCTCTCCGTTCCTCTTCTGAGAAGATCAATTTCCACAAAGCCTCTGGCTTTTCAAAATATCTTGACTGGAGGCAGACCATTAATTTATGACCTTTCCCTTCAAGAATTCTATTGCAGTATGCCTGTGATGAGGCTTCACAGATGCCTGTGCTCAAACAAAGGCAAGGCATAAAACGCAAGTAAGCAAGTAAACGATCTTCTAAAGCAAACATTTTAAAACACAACTCCAAACTTGAAAAACCACAAAACTGAGAAGGAAACAAACCAAAACAACAAAAAAAACATGCATGGCACCTCCCGTTATATTCAACAAGAGTAGAGATTACACTAGAAACTACCCCATCTCCTGGCAGACTCTGTACCCTTGTTTGACATTGAGGAAATAAACATCCACTGATGGCATTTGTTGGCAAGACAAGGATTCTCATTTGTGGTGCAATTTAA